TGGTAGAGCACCCTGGATCTAATCCCTACTACTGCCAAAGGGGGAAAATTGGGAGAAACTTGTATTTATTATGAAGAATTTGATAACTTAGGAGTGCATGTTTTTCTGATGAGATTGGTGATGTTAACAAATGTTATGAAATGTGATAATGTTTGAAAGATCTGGGTAATTCCATGAAGGTTTTCTGAGTGATCAGTCTATAGTGTTAAGAAAACCATGCATAGGTAAAAACTATTGTCAAAGTTCAAGATAGACCATTGGATTTTAATATAAAAGGGTTCAGGGTGTTCACTGATAGGGTTCCAGTTTTCAGATTGGCACCTTCAAGAAACTACCACCTGCAGGGCATGGTAATCCCCAGCCACTGAGGAGGCTCAGGCAGAAAGATTGCAAGTTCAAGGCTAGCCTCAGCAACTTAGTGAGATCCTATCTCAAAATAAAAAATAAAAAGGACTGGACATAGACACGAAATGGTGTGAATATACTATGTATACAACCAGAGATATGAAAAATTATGCTCTCTATATGTAATAAGAATTGTAATGCATTCTGCTGTCATATATAAATTTTAAAAAAATTTAAAAAGGACTGGACATAAAGAAAAATGAGATTATGTCATATGCAGGAAAATGGATGGAACTAAAGACCATTATGTGGGCTGGAGATGTGGTTCAAGCAGTAACACGCTCGCCTGGCATGCTCAGGGCCCTGGGTTCGATCCTCAGCACCACATAAAAATAAAATAAAGATGTTGTGTGCACCAAACTCTAAAAAATAAATATTAAAAAATTCTCTCTGTCTCTCTCTCTCTCTGTCTCTCTAAAATAAAATAAAATAAAAACCATTATGTTTAGTAAAATAAGCTAACCTCATAAGGTCAAGGGTTGTATGTTCTCTTTCATATTCAGAAGGTAGAGAGGAAAAAGGAAATGAAAAGTGAAGTGAATCTCTTGAAAATCAAAAGATCAATAAAGGAAAGGGACCAAGGAATGGGAGATGAGGAGTGGGGAAAGTGATGGGGAGTGATATTGACCAAATTATATTGTTATATTGTGTGTGTGTGAATAAATTCCATCATTATGTACAACATAATATACACCAATAAGACAATGTGGAGAGGGGAAAAAAAGAGCCAGGGACCACCAAAGTGCATCTTACTCAAGCATTCATACTCCCTCTTCCTTTGTGTGTGTGTATCCTGTTCTATTGTTTGCTTTTTTATATAAATCTCCTTGCATTCCTAAATAAATCTCTGCTTGCACCTCAAAAAAAATGGGAGACTGAGGATGTAGCTCAGTGTCAGAGTGGTAGACTGGTAAAATGGGGGAAGAACACAACATATACTACTTGTTGAGATTTGGTATAGTAGCAAAGAAGAATACTGATAATTATCTGAAAAGCTACTACAAGATTCCTCTTTTTTCAATACATATTTCTGAGGTCAAACTTTCTTCATGTATTTCAACTAAAATAAATATTAGAGTGCTTGCCTAGCAAGCATAAGGCCCTGTGTTCAATCCCCAGCACTGCAAATAAATAAATAATATGTCACAACTGATTTAGTTCAGGAGAAAAATATAAGAATTTAGCTGTCATCTACTGATCTCTTAGTCATTCAAGAGCTATATAAAAGCATAAAACAACAAAACCCTTTTCACTGTTTTTCTTGTTTTGAAAAAGAGTTATTTTCATGATTATATTTTATGTATATTAATATAGTTGCCAGCCTCAACAACAGTGAGGCAGTAAGCAACTCAGTAAGACCCTGTCTCCAAATAAAATACAAAATAGGGTTGGGGATGTAGCTCAGTGGTTGAGTGCCCCTGAGTTTAATCTCTGGTAACCCACAAATATATATCCTTATTTTAAGCAATTAGCATGTATATAATTTAAAATTTTACATTTGTGTTTCAATTATGGTAAATATCAAGTTATAACTCATATAAGCAAAAGTTCTTTGAGGTGCTTAATAATATTTTAAAAGTGAAAAAGAATTCTGATTCTGAAAAGTTTGAGAACCATTATGCTAGTTGTTCGAATGAATGATCTTTTAATCACCAAGAGGAGACCAAATGATATATAAAGGTGGCTACCATTTAGCACTCAAGTCAGTTTTCTATTCATTTTAGTGCCAATATTTTTGTGTGGCCCATATAAAAAAGCTGCTCATTCCCATAAGCAAGATGTGAGAGTTACTTGATCCATAGAGAACATTTTAGGGTAACACTTTTTGCAGCTTCTTGAGTAGGTCATGTCTCATAGCCTTTGTGCATGGTTGTTTCTTTTGCTTGAAAAGCTCTCCTATACTTTCCCTAACAATCCTTATTTGTTGTTCGGATTTTGACTTAACTATCACTATCTCAGGGAACCCTTCCCTGACTTATGCCTCCTAATCTCCTATATCCTCTAGATTTGATCAACTCAATTTCTCTTATAGGTTCATGCACCTTTCTTTATAGTATATATCATGGTGTATAATGATGTATCTTTAGATGGTTTGATTAATGCCTGTCTCCCCTCTAAACTTAATCTCCACAGGACAAATTTATTTTTTGCTTACCATTTTACCATCAATATCACAGTGTTTGGCAGTGTGTGTGTGTGTGTGTGTGTGTGTGTATATATATATATACACACACACACACACACACACATACACAGAATGAATCAATTATTTTCCAATATGAAAACCACATGTTGAGGCAAGGAAGAGTGCATTTTATTGATTGTTACATCATTTTAACTAGTCTTTCAGATTATCGACTGTTCAAAACAGTTTCTATTGTGTGGATTTCCTAGTTTTTTTTTTTTTTTAAAAAAGGTATCTCAGCAGTACAGTCATCCTGAAAGAAATTAGATTACTTGAGTCCCCTATACAGATGCCATTTCCCAAAACCTTCTCCCAACTCATGTTTCTTAGCTTCCTAGCTCACTTTTACTAATGGTTATGCTGAATTTTTCTCTAAAAATATCTTTTATTAAATACAGAAGTGTATTGGATTCAAGTTGTATTATTTCTTTTGGGACTAATGGTACATTTTCCAACTTCAGAAATTGTTTTTAAGACCACAGAAGTATCAGATTAAACTAATGTGGTGACTACCTCAGGACAGTAGTATTTTATTCTGTTTTTCTTCCAAGAATGTAACTGTTAAAAATTATTACAGTTATTTATTGTTCACTTTACAATTTATTAAGTGAGGGGATTATATTTCATTCTTCTTCCAGCTGAGTAATAGTGTATGTGTGTTTTTTTGAAGCAAGCACAAATAGTTTTTCATATTAGGGCTTTAGATTTTGGTCCTATTTTAATTAAGAGACCTTTGAGATCTGGATAAAGGAAGCATATTGTCCTTTTGATAGCTAGGCAATATTTGCAAAATCTGTCTAACCACAGAGTTACAAATTCCTTTCAGATAAGTTAGTATACTTTAAGAGCAGTGCTTTCAGAATTTACAGCCTTTACTTGAGAACATTCAGTGTTGATCTTATTGCTGATCTCAAATGGTTTTGTTTTACACAGAAACAAATGGATATCAATGCTGCTATTCAAGCCTTGATTGAATCAAATACTGCTCTACAGATGGAGGTAATATATCTGACTTTATTTATATTGGCAATATCAATATAAAAATTAAACAGGAATTTTTGGAGGCAAAAATGTAGGATTATCTCAAGGACTATATTTAAAACAGATTGAAAATATAAACCCATTTTCAAGGACAAAGTATAATTAAACTTGATATGCATAGGATATTCTATAAGGAAAATAGTTAAAACAAAAATGTAATGTTGTTAAGGACTTACATGTAAGGAATTTGGTGACATTGAAGAAAACAGTTAAATGAAATTATATTTCTTAAAATGAGATATACCTATCATCACCTTTATTTAAACTTGTTTTATTCAAAGTGTAACTTAAAAAGCATTATACGGTAGGCAAAATAACTCTTTTTAAGTCTATATCAGCTTGAAAACTAAACTTTCAAGTATAAATTTAATCTCTTTGTAGAATCAAGGTCAATAAAACATATACTATATGTTATGCTTAAATATAAACCACTCTTTGCATCCTACCCCCAACTCACTATATACAACTAGGAACACAGTTTTCTTCCTGATAGTCATTAGGGTTTTACTGCTTATATGATTCTTATGATGACTTGGCAGAGCTACCAGAATACTGAAGTGACTTTAATCGACCACAGTACAGAGATATTCAAGACCTTGAACTACCTTAGCAATTTACTACACAGCATCAAGAATCCCCTTGGCACAAGAGATAACCCAGCACGAATCTGCAAAGATTTGCTCAACTGTGAACACAAAGTATCAGATGGTAAGTTCTTAGTTTCTTCAGAATCTGGTTGATGTCTAACTTAATTCCATCATTTCAGTGCATTTGAAATTTACAAAGCATTCATTCCAAACTTTAGTTATTTTGATAAAACACTGGCAGAAGCCATTTTAATGTCATAAAAAACAAAAACAAATACCCAGAGGAAGAGATATTTCTGATGTCACCCCACCCCTAGCTATATCATTTGCTTACATTTTGTATTTGGAATGTATCACATTCATATTAAAAATTAAAATGTATAAAGCTGGCCTTTGGGTTGACCAACAGGAGCATCTGTAGAACTTGGTAATACAGGACCACGAAAGTTGACAGTATCATGAAGGATATCATAAAGCCCCTTCCATTATGCTTTCTAACAATATAGTTTTTGTACAAAACAGAATTTAAATTCCCATCCTAGAATCAGTGACCATAAAGATGGAGTGGTTTGTAATTCTTAGAAGTTTTTCATCCTTATATAGACAATCTCAAGTTCATTAACAAGGAATGCAAAACCAAATTTAGAGTAAAACCATCAAGAAAAGTTTTTAAACCAAGAACTGCAGACATAACTTACATTGGAGAAACTCTGCTATTATTTTAATTTGTTTGGTCTGAAGTCAACTGTATAATGAATATTATTTCATTTTTTGTTAAAAACTCTAGTCTCAATAATTACATTAACTATATGATAATTTGAAAAACAACTAGATTATGTTATTTCATCCGTTAGTAGTCTTTATTTTAATTTTAATTTTTATATACAAATACACATGTCACACACATTCATTTATGTATTCATATCAAAAAACATGCTTTAATTCTAGAAATACAGTGAAAAGTTCACTCTATTTATATTAATAAAATAATAACTTTTATAGATACTTTCTACCCTATATCAATATAAAAACTAAAATAATGTTTATAAGTATAACTGCCCATAATGATTGTAAGCTTGATTCCTTCCCATATTTAAGGGCATAAATTAAAATTTTATAAAATTGAAAGGAAGACATTGTAAGACAAATAAAATCAGTATCAAATCAAAATTTAAATTGTGTCTTTTCTTATAGGAGAAATAGCTAAGTGATGTGAAATGTGTACAAAGATAGGTCTTTATGTCCCCAAATACTTTCATCATTGGAGATGACAAGAGTTATACAGGAAAAGGAACAGGATAAAAAGTGGAGTGGAGAGTTTAGTTTTCAATAAAATGGCCTCTCTAAGAAAGTGACATTTGAGAGCAGTAAGAAGGAGAAAAGAGAGCAAACTCCAGGAATCTAAGGAAAGAGCTTTCCAGACTTAAAGCACAAATGTAAAAGCCTTGAGCCAGGGAATATAGTTGGCATGTTCTAGGTTTAGCAGGAAAGCCAGTGTGACTGGAAGAGTGTACCTAAATTGAAGACTTGTAGGAAACTAAGTCAGAAAGATATCAAGAAACCAGATTGTGTATGACCTGCTAGACTACTCAAAAGTCTCCAACTTTTGAGAAACCATTGGAAATTTTTTAACAAAGAAATGAAATAAATTGACTTTTATTTTTAAAGTATTGCTCTACTTGATATAATGAGGACAAGGGTTAGAAGCAGGGAAATCACTGAGCTATTGAAATCACCCAGGAAATGGGAAAAAAAAAATGAACAAACCCAGAAGAGATAATGATCAGCTGGATCAGTTGATCCCATGTAATCAACTCTAGTCAGCAATGGTCAGAATTTTGATTCTGTTTTCAAGGTAAAGCCAGCAGTTTTTGTTGACAAATTCGATGTGGGCTATGAGAGATATAGAATGGTAAAAAAATGACTCTAAGCTTTGGAATATAGAAGGGTGGAGTTGTTGTTAGTAGAAATGGAGAAGACATCGGACTTCAAGAGAAGGAACTGTGGACAAAAGATAATAGTTCAATTTTAGATATATTTAGTTTGAGACATTTAATTTGATATTAGATTTTCAAGTAATACTGTCAAGTGGGTAATTGGCTATTCCAGTCAAGAGAGGCCAGGAGTAAAAATTATGAATGACATTCATAATATAAATTTCATGTTATACCTTAACTACTTAAGATTACCTAAATTATAGGTAAAGAAAGAAAAGAGGTCTACAAACTGCGTCCTAAAGCAATCTAATATTTAAAGATCAGGGAGGTGAAAGAGAATTAGCAAAGAAAACTACGAAGAAGCAATCACTAAGATAGAAGGAAAACCAGACAAATGTGGTATCTTGGAAATCTAAGAAAAGGTTTAGAGGAAGGTATCAACTGGATCAATGTCAAGCAAGGTAAAGACTTAAAAAAAGAAAAACTATTGGATTTAGCACTGCAGAGATCATTGATGACCTTCACTAAGAACCATTTAGAAAAATGGTAGTGATTAAAACCTCATCAGATTTTTAAGAGAAAATGATGGAAATGAAGTAATTCAAATTACCTGTACAAAACAAAAATTGTTTTAAATTTAAAAGCATAAAATAGCTAACAAAATAGTGAAGAACTTTCAAGCCAATATTTTGAATATTTATAGTAAAGAACTTTGGGTTTTAAGCTGGGTAAGAAAAGAAGTAAACAAATTCTCATGAGGGACATGAAAAGGTGATAGTATCAATGAGTAGTAGGTCCTGATAGGATCAAAGAATTACTAGAGTCAAGACACTACAGGGAGTAAGCTGAAAAGAGAAGGGAGGCAAAATTATGAAGGATATACAGTTGCAAGTAATAACAAAGGCTAAGATATGGCTTTAGAGTTAATAGATTAAGTTATGGGATAGATTATTGGTGGTAAAGTAAGGGGGAATGGTACACTTCGAGGAACTGAGAAGCCAGGTTATTGGAAGTATCATTCACATGGATTTATAATTACCAAGAATTCAAGAATTAGGTCATAAATAGATTTTCTGAAAGCCATCACAAGCCAGAAGCTAAAATCTTCAAAAAAAAATTCATTGATTTCACCAGGAAGGGGCAGTGGGTGTATAACATGATGAGTGTTTAGGGAGAAAGGGGGGAAAATGGTCTGCAGTTAGCAAAAAGGACACCTTCCAACCTCCAGGCACAGTGTTATAGAGGTTGTTGCAGAAGTTGAAAAGGTTACAAGGGAAGCAGTGTCCTCAAGGGAGAGTCAGTTTTAAGTTAGAACATTTAGGCTCACAAAAAATATATTATGATATAAAATGTTATCTATACTCCACATATCTTAAAAGAAGTTATGAATCCCCATCACATCATCATTGTACAACACAATGCCTAACATCAAAGTATTCCCCCTCATATAACAATGAGAGTTTGCTTGATAGAAAACCTTTCATAAAATTTATATTAGCTCACATAGTAGGAGTAAAGCATGTCTAGGAAGAGAAAAGATGGTGAATGAAGATCTATATTGACTCCCTTAGATAAGACTGGAAGGCTACATTAGATTCTGGTGAATAATCCAGCAATAATTTCTATGAACTGTAAAATATTCAGAACTGTAAAATATTCAGAATCCTACGAACTGTAAAATATTCAGAATCCTAAGAAGGGTGGCTGTTCTTTACCCCATTCTTCTATATTTCAACAGTTTAGTCGTTCTCCAGATGTGTTCTGTGGACCAGAATTAGATTTTTTTTCAAAATGCAGATTCTCAAGCCTTACCCCAGACTTAATAAATTGGCCACTTGGATGATAAGGCCCAGCCATATGTGTTTTGTCATATGGTTCAAATTTTTCTAAAATTTGAAAATCACTGCATTAGAGGACAGTCCCTACCCTTTATGCACCTATTCAGCAAGTATGAATTTTGGAGGATTAGTAGAGTAAGAACGAGGAAAATAACTAAAGGATGTTTTTCAAAGTTAGAGGAAGCCCATGATGAACTAGAGAAATCTATGTGATAAAGATGAAATGGAAAAACATCTTACCTATTATAGAAAGTGACATGTGACAAAAACTAGTTGTTTCACCTTTTGAATGAAAGACACTGGGACTGCCTTTTTAAAAAACTCCTATCCTTCATATTTGAAATATAATCCTATTTCAATATTCAGAGTCTATTATTCTGGAATTAAGATGCTAACACAGTGCTTTTCAGTCTAAGTATTTCCTCTGATCTGACTTGAGGCCTTTATTTATTCCTGGGCTCTCAGTGGATGCAAAGATTGGCAGGCTTACACTAACTACAGGCACTTCTATTTTTCCCACTTACAAATCTCAAGAAAGCACAGAAAATGATGGCCATTTAATTGAACATTTTTCTTTCTGAAACCCCAAAAATAGCTGTTTTATTCTATTTTTAATTATTAGCATTACTCATAAAAATGCTTTCATTAGAGAAATTAAAGTTGTTTATATATATACACACATATATATACACACACACAAAATATTTATGTTTAACTCTATAATAATATAGAAAAGATACCTCATTAACTTTAATTTCTCAATTAACTTTAGACAGTTCACTTTTAGTTGAGCTTTTGTTTGTGGTATGAAGCAATAAATTCAGTTATTCTATCATTGTGATTATAATCATGAAATGCTCTTAAATAGGTGTGTGAAAAATACAGTTTTCAGTGTCAGTTTTATACAATTCTTGCAGTTTTCATTCATTCACTAAATATAAATTTTTATAATCTTTGAAGTATTTTAACATGTAAGACTGGGATAATATATAAAGTATACATTATTATACATATCATAGTTTATATTTCTTATACATATCATGACACCTAAGTAACTTTGCATTTTACTATAAATTAATAGGAAAATATTGGATTGATCCAAATCTTGGATGCTCTTCAGATGCCATTGAGGTTTTCTGTAATTTTAGTGCTGGTGGCCAGACATGCTTATCTCCTATTTCTGTGACAAAGGTATGTATTAAATTTTAGAACATATTCACAGTATCTGTAAACAATTATTTTTTAAATTTTGTCACTTCACATAATTATGAATTTTAAGCATGAAGTCAAGGTATTCTTCATTCTTTATCATGTATGAGAAACAGGTGTTTGTTTTTAAAAACATTGAATCAGTGACATTTAGCATTTTAATTATGTGTTTTCATGATTGGCTCAGTTTGACTTATCTATTGATCATGGTTTTTTTAATTCCTTAAAAACTTGTGCAACATATGTTGTTTTTATACATGACATACATTAGAAAGAACTGCAGTGTTTGTGATCAGTAATCTATTACCTAAAGTTCTGCTGAAAATTATATCATCACCATCAATAAAAGAAGAATTTGGCACAACAGCTTGCTCTTTTTGGTGACTGGACACAAAATATCCTACTTTAAACATCCACTGAATATGATTTAAAACTTCTTTCAAGTATAATTCTATAAACTATTTAGAATAAATGCAAATGAATTTGGTATAACAATAGATGTTATAGCAACTATCTATAAAACCTAAAACTTAGTTTTACTTACATGTTAAAATCAAAACTACACTTCTTTCTTTTTCTGATTAAACCAGTGTGTTAAATTACCAAGATTTATTTCTTATTGGCAAAGAACTGACAAATGTGCCTACGTGTGTATTTCATCCATCATAAAAAGGCAGCTGCTAAAATGTATAGTCACCAGCTGCTTATTGTTGAACTACCCTCTTCACAAGTGGGGTGTTTCCTTGTGGAAAGCACTAGATTCTTCCTGAAACAGAGGGAAGGATTCTTCTATTCCTAAGGAAATCATATACCTCTAATAAAGAACAACATGATATTGCTACCTCCAAAATATCCACATGATCATCCTCACTCCCTTGGAAGTTGGCTCAGGAATTTTATTTGTGCAAAAGAGATAGCATCAGTGAGTGGGCCACATTCCAGTTCTTCAGATGGCTGAATCAGTTCTCCCATTTTTCTGTCCATAAACTCAACCTCAAGAAGACTGGGAATTGAGGACCTAGTGCTACCTAGGATTGAAACCGCAAGCCAGCAGAGGGCATACTGTGAGCTAGCACTAGGCTAGGTAAATTGCATTTGTCACTTCTAACCCTCATAACAACCCTTATCAGGTTGGTGTTATATCCCACTTTACCAGCAAGGAAACTAAGGCTCAGACAGGTTAAATATTTTACACATTTCTGATTCTGATCTGTAAAATGAATGGATTTATCTTTTTAACCCCTAAGGTTCCTTTTGATCATCCTTCCATGTTTTGATTCTTATGCACTTCTTTTGCCTCTCTTCTCTTTTTCAGGGGTTTGTTGTTGTTGCTGCTGCTTTTTCTTTTCCTATTACCTCATAATTTTATGTATGAAAATTATACAAATTCCTCATGAAAGATATTTCTATTCACTTACATTATGGCCACCCCTTTGCTTGAATGATGCTAAAAGAATAATAATAGTAGTAATAATAATAATGTCTAGAGCTACAGAAAATTTTGCTTGCCTGTAAAAGTATGAAAAATGTGCCATCAGACTTCCAAGCTCCAAGTTTGACTTTTTTTTTTCCTTTTTCTTGCTACCAGAGATTGGACCCAGGGGCACTTAACCATTGAGCCACATCCCAAACCCTTTTTATTTTTTATTTTAAAACAAGGTCTTACTAAGTTGCTTAGGGTCTTGCTTAAGGTCTTGGAAAAGTTGCTGAGGCTGGCTTTGAACTTGGGATCCTCCTGCCTCAGCCTTCCAAGCCACTAGGATTATAGGTGTGTGCCACCACACCCAGCCAGTTTTACCCTTTGTTGTTAATTTGATTTGTTAATACTTGTTCATGTACTCATTCATTCAATAAACATTTATTAATAACAACATGTGACTAGAACTACTTTGGGGGCTGACAACAAAAAGAATAAATTTTGTGCTTGTCCTTAAAAGTTTTTTTAGTTAAAATTACTCAACCAAGTTTGTAGAGTTTATAACTTATCTTTGGAAACGCAAAAAAAAAAAAATCGTAAAAGAAGGCATCAACAGAAATTTAGATTCTTAGCTAGGCACAATGGCACATGCCTGTAATCCCAGCAACTCCAAAGGCTGAAGCAGGAGAATCCCAAAATCAAGGACATTCTCAGCAACTTAGTGAGGCCCTAAGCAACTTAATGAAACCCTGTCTCATAATAAAAATAAAAAGGCAGGAGATGTGGCTCAGTGGTAAAGCACCTGTGGGTTCAATCCCCAGTACCAAAAGAGAAGCATTTCAGATTCTTATGAAAAACATTAACCTAAAATGAATTATATTGCATTGTAGGTGATATTATAAAAATTATCTTCATTTTTATATTATAGGTAGTTGTTCAGTGGTATGCTAGATCCAGTTCACATAGGCTCAAGAAAGCCTATTATTAACATCTCATCTCAATTCCACGTTCAGTGACACAATCTTGGTAGTCTGAAATCAACCATGCTGGAAGTATTTTCAACAAAGAAATCAGAAAATGCTTTAAGTCAGCCCCTATCCCATTACCCAAGAGCCTATGGTTAAACATTTATCAGCATAGCACCAACTGGCACTTAAATTCCAAGAAAAGAAGTTTTTTCAGGCTGCCTTTCAAGGACTTTCCTCAAGTTTCCCCAAACTAAAAGTTTCTAAATTGCCTTATCTCATAAACTACATATTGTTTCTATGGTATTAGCTGGAGTTTGGAGTTGGGAAAGTCCAGATGAACTTCCTTCATTTACTGAGCTCAGAAGCCACCCATATCATCACCATTCACTGTCTAAACACGTGGACAAGTGCACAAACAAGTGACCCAGGACTGCCTATTCGTTTTAAGGGGTGGAATGGTCAGATTTTTAAAGAAAACACTCTACTGGAACCTAAAGTGCTTTCAGATGACTGCAAGGTAAGAGAATGACACTTTTAAAATTGTTCAATATGACTAAAAATTGGTTAAACAAAGATGACTTTATACAAACTGCAAATACAGAAGGCTAGTAACTTGTAAAGTGCCTGTCTTATAACCCCACATTTTTCAAACTCATTCATTTGCTTATATCTTGTGTTATACAAAATTGGTTATTCATGGGTTTTTACATGCAAAACAGGTATTAATACTTAGGTTTTATTCCCTATAGGAAATACACATATCTGGAAGGATGGATAAATATACAGATAGATAATAGATAGAAAGATAGAGCACATAAGCAAATTTCTTTCATGTGTTTTCAGTGTTATGATTTGCTATTGGCTCTTTTTAGTTGTATATTACAGTAAAATCCATTTTGACATAATTATAAAAGCATGGAATATATCTTGTTCTAATTCAGTCCCCTAAAACCTCTTCTTCTCCTTTCCTCCCCACCCCCAACTCCTGCCCCTTCCCTCTATTGATCTTTCTGCCATTTACCCATAGTTATTTTGTTGTTGTTGTTGTTGTTAGTTTCTTGTGGATATACACGATGGTGAGATTCACTGTGGTATATTTATTTCATTATATTTCATTATATATGAAAGTTGTCAGATTCATTCCATTGTCTTTCCTTTTCTCATCCCACCCTTCCCTCCATTCCCCTTGTCTACTCCACTGAATTTTTATTCTACCCCCAACACACATACATACCCCTTATTGTGGATTAGCTTCCACATATCAGAGAAAACATTCAAACTTTGGTTTTAGCTTATTTCACTTTGCACAATAGTCTCCAGCTCCATCCATTTACCAGCAAATATCATAAAATTATTCTTCTTTATGTCTGAGTAATACTCTGTTGTGTATATATACCACATTTTCTTTATCCATTCATCTGTTGAAGGGCACCTAGGTTGGCTCCATAGCTTAGCTATTGTGAATTGTGCTGCTATAAACATTGATGTGGCTGCATCACAAAAAAAAAAAAATGTTCAACATCTCTAGAAATTAGAGAAATGAAAATTAAAAACTACACTGAGATTTTACTGCTAGGATTCTGTATCTTAAAACTGCATGAAATACAAGTTATAGAAGCAAATAGTTTTATTTCATTTTGCTAGTCCCTATACAATTAAACATGAGTATATTTGTAGACTGCTCTACTAGTCAGTATTTAAATTGTAGCTCACTTTTCCTATTAAAATTAAGTAATGGATGTTCTATATGTGAGGAAAATGATAGTGCCTGAATTTGTATTAAAATCTGTCCAGGCCAAAGCCTGTGTTTTTAACCTCCATGCTAAGCTGATTTTCACAACCACTGTGTACTTTCTGTCTCTTTATTTGAGGGTTTTGGTTATTGTTGTTTAACTCATGCCTTTCCTTTTCTCTGAAATGCCCTTCTCTACATCTCTAATCAAGTGAAAATTTTAGGAATACTTTAAGACCAATCCAAATATAAACTGTAAAATTTTCATGAAGCATTTCCTGTCTATTCCAGTTAGAAATGAGGAATTTGTCACTCATTGTTCACATTATTTACATTGCACTATGATCTTGTATTACAGTTACTTGTTTATACGTCTTCTCTTCAAGTAGATTTATAAGCTTGTAGAATTCATAAGCCAAAATTAATTTATTTGTCTTAATTTAACTTAAAGTAACCCTTCCATTGCCTGAAATAAAGTAAAATAAAATAAAAATTTTTAAAGAATTAATTTATTCATCTTTTTTTTAAAGTACCATAGGAAAATTGAGGATTACATCTTATTTAACTGTGCCAAATATACTTAAGAGTTCAAAAAATATTTCTTGAAAGAGTTAAAGAATGAATCCAATGGTGTCTTACTCAAAGAATTCTAGGTCTAGTTATTACACCATGCTTATGACATAAACAAGCAACTTATCTTCAATGAGCTTCAATGACCTTAGCTTTACAATGAAACTTATAATTAAATAACCTCCAAAATTTCTTCAAACTTGAAAATGTATATTGTGATAATACTGTGATGAGTAAGTGAATAAACTTCTTAATAAAAAGCTCCACAAAACTAGTCAATTGTGTTTTCTATTTTGTTTTGTTGAATCTTGTCCATCATAGAACATTTTATGCCACAGAATTTATCAGAAACAAAAGAGCAAACAGTAATAAGAGAAACAGGCCTGGAAGAAGAAAGAAAAGATGGAAATTGTATAAATGGAAAGCCACAGAATGGAAAAAAGAAAGAAAACTAAAAGATGATTCAACATAATTATAATTTAACTACTTCTGACTTAGGCAAGCCTGGTTATCTCCAGCCAAAAGTACAGGAGTTAAGCTAGCTCATTTTCTTTCACCTAAGAAAAATGCTAACCTTAAAGACTTGGTCACAATTACAGGAACACGGAACAGATGAGTATTAATCATATTAAGAATTGTGCAGTCTTTCCATTCATACATTGCTGGTAGGACTGAAAATCAGTGCAACCAATTTGGAAAGCAGATAGAAAACTTAGAATGGAACCACCTTTTTACCCAGCTATCCCACTCCTCTGTCTATACCATAAAGACTTAAAAACAGCATACTACAGTAATGCAGCCACATCAATGTTTGTATCAGTACAATTCACAATTGCTAAACTGTGTAAGCAATCTAGATGCCCTTCAATAGATGAATGGATAAAGAAACTGTGGTACATATACACAATGGAATATTACTCAGCATTAAAAGAGAATAAAATCATGGCACATACAGGTAAATGGATGGAGTTAGAGAATATCATGCTAAGTGAAATAAGCCAATCTCAAAAAACCAGGGACTAAAAGTTTTTTCTGATAAGTGGATGCTAATCCATAGGGGGGCATGGAATAAGTGGAGGAACTTTGGATGAGGCAAGGCAAGGGAGGGGAGGCAAAGGGATAGGAAAGACAGTGGAATGAGGTGGACATCATTACCCTAGGTACGATTATGATTGCACGAATGGTGATTCTTCTTCATACACAACCACAGAAGTGAAAATTTCTGCTCCATTTGTGTATAATGAATTGAAGAGCTTTCTACTATCATGTATAAATGATTAGAACTAATAAATAAATAAGAATTGTGCAGCCTTTTAATTCATATCTGGTCTAGTGATTCTCAGACAACAAAAGCAGAAGCCTAGCATTAACCTATGGAAATGAAAAATTAGAGCACAATGTCATCATAAAGAAAGAAGTAAACCTAGATTTCCAATTATTAATAGTAATTGTTACTATATATTAAATATTGTTCTAAATATTTTCTATTCATTATCTCTAATCCTTAAAACAAATCTTCAATGTCTCATGGAGCACTGTGTGCTCAGAATGGCTGCTGATGAAACAGTTACACATGAAAGCCTTGTGTTTTTATTTACAGATTCAAGATGGAAGTTGGCATAAGGCAAAATTCCTTTTTCACACCCAGGATCCTAATCAACTTCCAGTGATTGAAGTTCAAAAACTTCCTCATCTCAAAACTGAAAGGAAGTATTACATTGAAAGCAGTTTTGTGTGCTTTCTCTAAAATGAATTAAGGCAGAATTCGTGATGTTGGTCATAATTGCTGCAGAGGGAAAAACATAAACAGAAATATACTGTCATTATGAAATGCATGGAATAAAGGCATTGGCTAAATCTTAAAGAATCTCAGGAAGAAAAGACTTCCTCCTAAGAAGGAGAAAAGGCATTTTTAGAGGACTATGATTGATAAAGTATTTAATTCTTTTAAAATTTTTATTGATCTGAGCTTTCTTTATAGAATTCCCTAGAACTGAAAATTTATAAACATGGAATTCTTCAGGGTATCCTATATTTTTTGACTGAGAGCAAAGTACCCATTAGACAGCTGGAGATGCAGAGCACTGTGGAGCAATACTGGCTAATGCTCCCAAATGTGCTATGCTTCTGTCTAAAAATTGCAAGCCACAGTCTAATATGTCTTATTTTTCCAAATACTAAGCTGTATTCAGGTCCCAATGGACATATACATCTTAGCCAGTGGTACACTACCTCTTACGTGTTGCCTTTTTGTGTTGCTTGGTGCTCTTTCTAAAACATGGTGCTTGTGGCTTTCATGCAGACTGTTTTATTTCATTTTTCATCTTTGTCTTTGAGAGTGTATGTACTGGTTACATCAAGATACGTTTCAATTGTTAGTATTTTAATTTGTTTGGTCACATACCTAATAACAAGTAAAGCAATTATTTATGTGAAGTCCTTGTTTTATTTTAAAATTCTCTTTGTGCATAAGGAATTAAAGCCAATACATCATAACCTGAGCTCACACACAAGAGAATTGGGAGGTCTCTTTTGTTTTTGTGTTATTTTATAAATTGTTGTAAAAAATATTTTAGGCCATCTACATCCAATAGTAGATTTGGGTTAGAGATTGGGAGTTGTGATATAGTGTTTTAAAAATCCACGATCATCTGGAATGATACTTAATGTATATATATTTTGTAAAGTTTTAATTCAGCAAATCTTTTGAAATTGCTGCTGTTTTAAATTATAGAAATTATATTTCTGCTTTGTAGAAATTACATGTCTTTGTAGTGTTTCTTTTACTGTTCTTTAAATATAATGTGTTAGGACTTGAAAGAATTTAGTTTACCAATCTTGAAAACAACATCCAGGAAAAAAAAGTCTTTTCTACTTAAAGTAGGTTCAGCCAGTTCAGTCTTTCCTTGTTATCAGAGAGATATTGGTTCTTATTAAAAGAAAAATATTACACCTCTCGCTATATAGAAAATCTGTTTACCTATTATAAAGATGTTTTTAGCCACAGCAAACCCACACTTACTTATCTATAATAAAAAATGTGCTTTAAATCATCTTTGGTTATTTGTTTTTCTTTTATATTACCTTATGATTTTATTATGAAAGATAGCCCCTCTATCATAGCCATTCTATATCATATATATTTACATTATTAGAAAAACCATTACATACCTAAAAAAGGAATATTGGGCCTGTTTCCTACTTTTACAATATGAGGCCATAGCACAGAAATAAACCCTGACAAAAATGATCAAATGATTTTCAACAGGATGTCAATACCTGTAATCCCAGAAACTCAGGAAGTTGAAGCAGGAGGATCACAAAAGCCTCAGCAATTTAGCAATAACCTATGCAACTTAATGTGACCCTACCTAAAAATAATAATAATAATAAGGTCCAGAATCCAGGCATGATGGCACATGTCTGTATCACAGTGACTTAGGATAAGTCCTAAGTCCTGCTAAGGCAGCAGGATTGCAAGTTTGAGAACAGTCTCATAGCAAGACCCTGCCTCAAAATAAAAAATGAAAAGGGCTAAAGATGTGTCTCAGCAGTAAATCATTCCTGGGTTCAATCCCCAATACTGTTAAATAAATAGAAAATAATAGGTGTTCACAAAGATGTGGAGAAATTGAAAGATTTGTATGTAACTGGTGGGAATGCAGCCACTGTGGAAAAGGGGTTGGTAGTTCCTCAAAAATTTAATTATTGAATTACCATATCATCTAGTAATTCTACTTGTAGGGATATACTAAAAATATTGAAAGAAGGAACTCCAACAGATATTGGTACACCATTCATAGAATTATTATTCAAAATCGTCCAAACATGGAAACAACCCAAATGTTAATCAATTTGGGGATACAGAGAAAAAGAAAAGGTATATTGAATATCAAAAGAGAAATGCCCATGAACAGTTGAAATGAATCATTGGAATATATTGCAAGCAATTCATGAGCAATCCAGCGATCACATGTCCTTGCCGTCAAAAAGGAGTCAGAATGGAGGGCAATGTGCAAGCACAAGGAGAACTAACTTGAAATTGCATAACTCCACCCTGACTCCACCTCTAGTAGTCCCTGTATAAATATTAAAAGCCCAGACCAAGGGAAGCTTCTCACTCAAGAAAGCCCATGCTGTCTCTTTCCCTTTAGTATATAGATTTTACTTTCCTAAGTAAATCTCACCTGACCCTCCCTAAATTTCTTTCTGCAATGTTTCTTAAGAACCCTACCCGCTTCCTGAATTGAGGGAACTCCTTGGACCTTCCTCTGGTGATAGTTTCAATCTATGTATTATACTTTCTATTCCAAAAGTAATAATAATGATATCAACAACAATCACGTAGTTCAGAGGCATAAATGATCCCTCTAGAAGCCATTGAAGAAGTATAGAACAGCTATCTTGCTATAGGTATTAAGTGATTTTTTTTTGAAAGTCAAAATTTATTTACTACCTGCATACAAAAACATATTGTACATCAAAAAACCAAAATCAAAAAAAAATTTTAAATGAGAAAAAGGAAAAGGGAGAAGATACTCTACTGAAGAATAACATGTAGTTTATACAGAATAAACCTTCTGGAAATTATCTTTCAGTAGTTCAGGTTACGTCTGAATGGATATAACTAATCCTGTTTAGTGTTTTAACTAAAGCTATGTTTGATTTTTAAATAGTGTACACTTTAATAAATAAACCAAACAAAGCCTCAATGTAGGAAGGTCACTGCCAATATCATTCAGTATCTCTGCAGATGAGCATTAACTGGTCAACAGATTTTCCTGTACATAAAGCATTTATTAAAACAGACTGGTTTCCAGATTAAACTAAAGAAGAAATTATAGTTCAGTGCAAAATATTTTAGACTGCATTTCATTCTAGATTTCCTTGGGTGAAGAAATGTAGCACATTATTGAAAATGTAAAAAAAGTAGCTAATGCTTTCATAAAGAATATTACCTTAGAACTCCGAACCCACCCACCTCCTTCTCTGCCATATTTTGAAAACAAAATAACATTTCCTATAGCCAGCAACTTTTTTAATGTTCCATATATTTGTCTCAAGGCACACATGATAATGTATTTTATAATACAATAGATGTCACAGTATGTTTAACATGATTTCTTCAGGATCCCTCTCCTTTCTGAATTCCAAATGGAGGAACTAAAAGCACAATGTAAAGACTGGGGATCCATATTCTATCCTTTGGCAAGCTTAATCAAGCACTATTGTAAATGTAATGTCAAATAACTATAAACTTCTTCAGTTTATGAAACACCATTCAGGACTGCTGCTTCTTGAGTGTTCTCTTTTTTTAAGGTATTAATCTTTTCTTCTTCTGGAGTAAGCTGTAGCTTATAATTTCATTGCCAGAAGCACTGATTGGGCCATTTATTGCCTTTTCTGAAGGACCATGCTCTTCAATCACATGTTTTGCCTAGCCCATTTTCATTAACTGAAGCTATATCAGATTCAATCATTCCATCCATCAGAACAGCATCTTCATTAGTCCTTTGTCTAGGAGACCACCTACAACGGTTAGTACTATGATGAGATTCACTGGCCTCAGTGTCTGCAATCTGATCTGACTCTGTATTATCAAGTAAGCTGTATGGATTGCTGTCTCGATCTTTGAGCACACAACTGTGGGAGGATTTGCCACCAAGTGATCTACCACAACCTCGACCCCCCTGAAATACTTCTGCCTCTTCCTCCTGGGTATCTCCTGCTGTCACGCTGATGTCTGCTTCCCTGATTATCTTCTCCTCCCAATGACCATGGCTTAGCTCTTTACATTCAGATTCTGTTTCAGAGGAGTTAGCTCAGAATTTGTACCATAACTGGAGCTGTAATCAGGGCCCCTATAATATCTGCCTCTTCCATCATAAAACCTAGAACTAGTCTGTCATAAGCTGTTTATCAATCTGTAGGTGTTCCTACAGATTAGCTGTTCCTCTTCCTTCAGATAAGCAATATAATACTCTAAAAGAGCTTGAAATTTTCCCATGATTTTTATTTAGTGCCAATAAATACAAATGAAACCATCTCATTGTCTCTAGGTAGTTAATTTTCACTGTCACTGTTACTTCAATTCTCACTCAAACCACACTATATTTGTCCACTATTTTTTTTAATAACTTTGCCATTTTTTCCAACTACTTTTCCAATAAGATTCCTAGGAACCTGAATAAAATCCTCCACAAGGATTCCAAGAAACCTCTAACCTTTTTTATAAAATCAGCACTTTCTCCATAGACTCTAAATGTTCCAGCATCTTCATCTAGTTCAACTTAAGGTAACTTAAGAAACCTTAGCTTGTTGGATATTACTACCATGTGTTCCTATTGCCAGTCCCATTAAATCTTCTCTCACAACAAATTTGTCATGAAATGCTGCTGTAAGTTGTTCCGTGCATTCTAAATGCTTACTGGCCTCTTCATAACTGGACATTAGCATCAACTTTGTACGAATACTTCACAAATGCATGTCACTTAGAATATTTACTCTCTTCACAGTTGCTTCACTGGCAGACAGTATCCTTAGCTGCATGGTTTCTAGAGGGTAAAAAATTCTGCATGCTCCTACTGCTTTTTTAAAATCTTTATGTGCATTTTCATTAGCAAAAAGCCTCTCTCAAATCCTCAAGAACATCAACTGTGCACTTGAAGAATTTTTTTTTTTGACAGTTTTATACTGATAGGCTGAAGTCGTTCAAAAGTCACTATTTCATTGTAAGTGGCACCACAAGCAGCATATTCAATGACATAAAATTCTCCTTTCATCATCTGAACTTTAGCCAACCACCATCCACATGGTTCTTGGTCATTTGCTCTTGAATATACCTCTACTTCGTCTCCTTTACTAATTTCTTTTTGTACATCAGGTGGTAACTTAATTTTGTTAAATGAAACATGGCATTCTGGTTGTCAATTATTTTCAAAAACAACTGTGATGGAATCTTCATGAATACCTTTGATAAATTCCTTGTAGAAATCTCTGTTATATTTACAACCCTCCACTGTCAGCTCCACCATGTTGGAGCTGTGTTCTTGAAATATTAAATTTGAATAAAACCAGTACACTGAGCTCTGATTATGATTGTTTTAAACAATGTATTTTAAATAATACAAAAATTAAAAACAATATTTTTTTCCTGTAGGTCCAGGTTACCACCTAATATCATTACTCTTTGTGTGAAGAACGTCCCTTACCATTTTTTATGGTATTGGTCAGCTTGTGATGAATATTCTGAATCTGTCTTTACTTCATTTTATTTTTTATTATTTTTTAACTAGAAGGTGTCCACAAAAGCTCATATGTGGGACAATGCAAGGAAGTTTAGAGAGAAAGGATTGAGTTGTGAGAGCTTTAACCTAATCAGTGCATTTATCTACTTGAATGGATTAACTGGATGTTAACTAGAGGAAGGTCACTGGGAGCATACCTTTGGGGTATATATTTTATCCCTGGTGAGCGCAGCTATGACCTGAGCTGCTTTCCTCCTCCATACCCTTCCACCATCATATGCTATCTCACCTCCGGCCAAGAATTAAGTAGTCACCCTGCTCCCCAAATGTACTTTTCTTCCTCTATGTTGTTCTTGTCAGATCTTTTTGTCACAGTGATTCTGACTAAAACAATTATTTTCTCTAGACATAGGATTCTTGGTTGCTTTTTTTTCCTGTAGTTTTAATATGTCAGTGTGATATCTTCTGGCCCCCAATGTTGGTGTAGAGAAGTGAGCCATTGTTCATATTGTTGTTCCACATTTGAAAGACATCATTTTTCTCTTACTTCTTTTAAGCTTTTTTTTTTATCTTTCTGTAGCTTTCAACAATTTATCTATGACATGTTTATTTTATCCTACTTGGGATTTGTTGAGCCCAAGTTTAAAGGCTCTATCAACATCATCATAGCACAACATTTTTCACCTATAATTTCTTGAGTTTTATGAATGTAACAGTATCAGCACAAATACAAAAACCAAAACATTTATACACATAGATAGGTAACTATCAGTCAAAAGTAAAATCTTTAAATTGACAAAGTATGT